AGGTAGATATGGTGGAAAATGCGAGAGCGTGTAAAACCTGATGTGAGCACTTGCAGAAAAAAAATCTGAGTTTGTGTGCATACATTTACATTTGTATAAAATATCCACGTAACTGTGAACCAAATGTACACTTGTACATAATTACAATTTACAACTCCGCCACTTCGCTCCAACCACCCTCCCTCCCCCCTCATCTACAGCTGATCTACAGGTGAAAATGACTTTTGCGACACANATGGCTATTACTTTTCTTATTCATAACTTTCATAATTCCAGAGATACATCCCATAATTCATCACATTTTTAACATGGAAGTCAATGGAGAAACTCTTCAGACTTGAACAATCTTCATGCAACTTCAACTGCTAACTGTTCCTTCATACTTTCACTCAGAAACCTCCAACTTTAAAATGTTACACATCTTTCTGACATTATTCGTGTAACACAACTTTTAAATCTGATTCATACTTTTAGAGATATTAAACATTGTTCAGACCTTGGTAAAGAGGCCTTCTTCAGATTTTAGAGTGTGTGATGTCACAGCTAGAGTGGAGGACAGATGTAATTGTGGCCTCATATTTTCTTTTAAACCTGCCATAATTCCCAAACACTACGTTCCTGAGACATCATTTTTCATGAGAAACGTAGGAAAACATCTCGTAGCTTGAAAATTAAGCTAAATAATTAAACAAAATGCCCCTTAAGGGCATGAAGTGACAACAACTTTCAACATGTCTCCATTAAACCCCATTGTAAATTCAGCCTCATCTTTCCCCACCACAGCAGCCGCACACCTTTAGTTAATCTGCCAAAAACGCCACATTATTGACCCGAAAGTACACAAAAAGTACACTTCAGATGCTCAAGTTCCTTGACTTGCTTCACGCTTTGAAATTTCACCGATATATGTTACGGTTCTTCTACAAAACGTTCACGTAAGAGGTTTATCTCTCATTCAGAACATTGAAAATGCTTTCCTCTCACTGATTACTGCACCACCACCATGGAAACCTTTGATCTCTGGACACGTCGTTAGCTCAAATATAAACACCTGTGTTATGGAACACGATGATGTCATAACTCCAACTGACATGNGTTGTAGGTTGCACCGTTGTCGGAGCAGCATTAGCTGTAGGTGCTGCTGTTGTTGTTGCAATAACAGTAGTAGGTGCAGCAGTAGTTATTGGTTGCACTGTTGTCGGAGCAGCAGTAGTTGGAGGTGCTGCTGTTGTTGTTGCAATAGTTGTAGGTTCTGCTGTCGTAGGTGCAGTTGTTGTAGGTGAAGCAGTAGTTGTAGGTTGCACTGTTGTCGGAGCAGCAGTAATTGTAGGTGGCACCGTTGTTGGAAAAGTAGTAGTTGTTGGTGCTCCTGTTGTTGTTGCAACAGTAAAAAGTGATGCTGTCGTAGGTGCAGCAGTAGTTGTAGGTTGCACTGTTGTCGGAGCAGCAGTAGTTGTGGGAGTAGCAGTTGTAGGGGCCACAGTTGTAGGACCTGCAGTTGTGGGAGAAGCTGTTGTAGGGAATGTAGTTGTTGTGGCTGCAGTTGTTGGGGCTGCAGTTGTTGGGGCTGTAGTTGTCGATGCTGCAGTTATAGGACCTGTTGTTGTGGGAGCAGCTGTTGGCGGGGCTAAGGTAGTGGGGGCTGCAGTTGTCGAAATGACAGTAGTGCCTTTTGGAAAACAAAACCAATGAGGAAGTGTTAGAAACATCCAAAGAAATTCCACCGTTGGTTAAACTTAGATAAAACATCTCAGGAGCTATTTTCCACGTTTAATTTCTCATGGTCGTCAAAAATTACTAAATGTTTTATTCAGTCCAATTAAGTCAATGTATTTATTTCACACTGTTAATTCCTTATGTTTTACCTTTTTATTCTATACCCGTAAACTTGAGACTTGACAACCGTGGTGGCAAAAGCAGCAGAGAGCACAAATACAATTTATTTGATTTATTACGGGGTGACATTTGTGCCAAAATCATATCACAGGTGATGAATATGGTACAAAACATGTGTCTTTTTTACTCCAATAGGAGCACTAGTAATTCCAGGGGTACTTTGGAGCACTGCACGAGGTACGTAAGATAATCTGAAAATGTTCATTAAAAAAACACATCAGATAATAATAGTACCTAAAACGATACGATCGTTAACTGCCATAAACTGTCGAGGTCAATCAGGAAATGCACCCATGATAAACATAGGATTAATAAAGCTGAAAATATTAAGACCCAAAGTTAAATCGAAGCCCATGTTTTTCATTACATTTACCGATAACCTCATCAAAAACATATATGCTAAATGTTTGTTTTCCTGTTATTACATCATGAAAGAAAAGTAGATTTTTCATGCTTGCACATTTTAGATGTAAAATCTTCTACGTAGTTGTGGTTATCAAATAAATGTAGGAAAGTAAAATGACAATATTTTCCTCAGATATTTAATGGAGTACCAGGAAATGTAAATAGTCAAGTCAAGTTCCTCATAATTGTACTTAATACTGTACTTAGTGTGTCATTGTTTTTATCGATTATCTATATTTGTTTGAAGAAAGCAGTATAAATGTCTCTACTTTAAATTATAATGTACTGAATTGTTTAAAATGTTTTTGTTTTTTCAAGGAAAGTAACTTGTCCAGTGATCTTTCTTTAAGTACCAACTATGGCATTCAACAACACTGTCATGGACAGACTGATATGCAGATCCGGCAGTGGCTCAGTCAGTAGGGGATTGGACTGTGAGCCGTAGGGTCGACGGTTCAAGTCCCCGACCAGACCTAAGAAAATGGAGTGTGGACTGCTACTTGGAGATGTGCCAGCTCACCTCCTGCCCTGTTGTGGTGCCCTTAAGCAAGGTACCGGACAACCCCCTTCCCCCTCACTCCCATTGCTCCACGGGCGCTGCGCAATAGCTGCCCACTGCTCCTAGTACTAGACTCCTGGTACTACGATGGGTTAATAGCAGAGCCCATCTGAACACATTTCACTGTGTGTGCTGTATGCTCTGCATGTGTGACAATTAAATAGGGTTTCATCCCTCCCAATATTATTATTATAACAAAACAGTCAAATGACAGTAAGTCCAACAGAACGAAGGTACAGTTGAACTGACACAATGTTTTGTGAGGAGATCTATCGACAATGGCATTACAACAGTGGCGTAACTATCGACGGTGCAGCCGGTGCAACGCACTGGGGCCCTGAGCCGGCCAGGGGACCATGCAAAAAAAAAAGAGACATATATATTATTTTTTTTAAGTAACCAAGCAACCTAATTCATTTGTAATTTGTCTGTCCAATGACCTTGCTCCCTTTCATTTCATGTGATACCTTGCGTGACGAGCGAACCATATAATCAACCTCAAAAGTTATAGATACTGTAGCTAGCAGCAGCAAGTTTGGCAGCATTATAAAACATTGAATAGCTTGCATTTATAATGTACAGCAAACCAAAGCACAAGAGCGGCGCTCAAAAGAGAGAGGACAAGAAAGAACAAGGAGATGTAATGGCTAAACTGACGTTTTTTTTGTCATACATCGTCCTCGAAATCTCGATTAGTTCTGTAAAGTGATTGTGTGATTAGTTCGCTGTGCCGTTGTCAGGCTGTTGTGGTCTGAGGCCAGGGCAGGCTGTTGTTGATAGCCTACATGTGGCGCTTATGAGTGGTTGTATGTGTCCGTCAGTGGCGACTGGTCATTAGGGGCAGGTCGGGCACAGCCCCACCTAGTGTCAGCAGAAAGTATTAAAAATAATGATTACAATAAAATAAATAAAAAAACATATAAAATATCTTTTAAGATCATGTTTAATCATGTGATTCGTCTGTATATTGCTGTTTTAGTCTGTGTTATTCTAATTAGTGTCTACAGTGTGTGCCTATTGAGACGTTTTGAGCCATGAGGCACAAAACCCGATCATGACCCTCCCTCTCACTGTCTAAGTCAATGGTGACTGTAAAAACTACACTGCGCATGCTCAGAGTATTTTTCAATTTAATGTGTGTGGCAAATAAATAATGACCATAGGGGCACTGTGCTGCCATCCCCACCATACTTTGTCTCACATAATTCAGAGCTGATTGGCTGTAAGTATGTGTTCCGCGAAAAGTGTGTGAAGAGGAGACGAGAGAGTTGCAGTGACGCGTCCTAAAACCCGGAAGTAAGCTGCGCATTGTTTCCCTCAACAAAAAAGCAATGAGATTTCTCCATAGGATTTTAGAAAATAGCTCCAAATAAGATCTGTGGGAAACGTACCTGTTAGATAAATGCACGTTTTGTNATGTGTGCCACGAAAAGTGTGGTGTGTGAAGAGGAGACGAGAGAGTTGCAGTGACGCGTCCTAAAACCCGGAAGTAAGCTGCGCATTGTTTCCCTCAACAAAAAAGCAACAA